GGTAGGTCTTGCTATGGTTCTTATTTCAAAATTCTTTTCTTCCATTAATGAACTGATATATACCTAAGGCAAAAATTATAATTATCAATAAAAAGGATTATTAATTAATAAAATTTAATAAAAAGTAAGGAAACAAGTAAATAAAAAAAATTTCTATAAATAAGAAAAAGTAGGGTTGTCAAGAAATAAAAGAAACAAGGGGGTTGAGTTCAACCATAATAATAATTAATAGTTCAATTAATAATAATAAACTTTAATTATTAAAAAAATAATTTATTCATGAAAGTAATACAAAAATTTCAAACCCTACTTTGCAGAAAACGGTAACTGGCAGACTACAATGTAAATAGACTTTTAATAATAATAATTATGCCTCTGTACCTATTGATTGCTCTACTACAATACTATGATGTAAATTAATTATTGTGATAAATATAAATAAGACTTTTCAGCTAGTATTGATTGAATGACGTGTCATCGCATTAAAAAAAATCTAAATTATGGATAGGCTAAAGCATTCTTTGAATTTTGGGATTCAGTACAATATTGAAAATTAAAAATATTAATATATATACTTATTAGAAATTGCAATTGCATGGACTCGCAACGTTATCATTTTCTGCAAAGTAGGGTTTGAAATTTTTGTATTATTTTCATGAATAAATTATTTTTTTAATAATTAAAGTTTATTATTATTAATTGAACTATTAATTATTATTATGGTTGCACTCAACCAGCTTGTTTCTTTTATTTTTTGACAACCCTACTTTTTCTTATTTATAGAAATTTTTTTAATTTAATTGTTATTATTACCTACTCGCTGATTTCACAAAAAATGGATCATGCACATAACTACATATACACGTCAGATTGAATAATTCATGACACACCTATGTACATGTACAAAATCTTATTACATGTACAATTCTACAATTTACATATATCATGTATTTAAGTTGTGTGTAGAATATTTGGTAGTTTACTTTGTGGCTAGTCCTTATCATAACACTTACTTGTATGGTTTGTTAGAGCAGTTTGAGCATGAGCAGTACTCATATGCCTGCCTTCTTTTGGTCTGAGATGTATGACTACATGTAAATTATATCGTATTATGATGTTTACGTGGCTTTACTGTGCCAAATCTTAGATATCAAAGTAGTTTCCTTATTGATAGGGAACATTTAACAATATGGGAGGGCCATTAAAAGTGTGTTCATTTCACAAGTGTCACAAATTTACATACATATATCGGCTTTTATGGTCAATGCTTTCCCCTAAGTTTCTTTCCCAGCCAGCCTGCGCTACATATGCATTCATTCTGAGTGTAATCTCTTTCTTTTGGTGAGAGCATCAGTAATCCTTTAACTGATTTGTCACTGTTACATGTCTTCTTTCTATTTGATAGTAGTTACTTATTACAATCATTCAAATGTTGTTATACATGTAAATGCATGTACTTGCTTTTATGATCAATGCTTTCTCACAATATAAAAATGGATTATAAGTTGCCATAGCAACTTTTTTATTGGCAATGATCACGCTATTTTAAGTGGTGGGGCTGTGTTCATGAGTAGGGTTAAACTGTTTATACACCTGTATATAAATTTGTGTATTGGTGTTAACTATGTTTTAAATTAGTTGGTTAGAAGCTATAATGTGACTCCTTCCTACTCATAACACATCACATACATCAATGATGATAGCACTAAATGTACATGTATGTTAATAATGTCAACCAAGTTGGATATCCTATAATTACATGTACATTGGGTTGCTCTCCATTACCAATATTATAAAATGATGAAAGAACATTATACTTGTAAAGTATAGCTTTGATACATGTGCAAAGGTGAATGTAGAAGAATGCCTCATCTCTTCTCTCCGTCCCTCATTCCCCTTTATCTTTTTCTTTCACCCCTTTTTCATAATGTAAATGGAAGAATGTTATACTAAGCTTTTGTGTATTGTAGGATAAAGTGTAGTTGTCTTTATACATAATATTGATATTGGTATACATATACAAGTAAATTATCCATTCATAATTTAACTTGAGCATCATTATAATACATACATGTATAATTTTAGAGCCTACTCATAAGAACAAAAGCACAACCCCATTACACATTGCTTGCAACTCCTGCCTCATGGTTGCAACTCCTGCCTTGTGGTTAAGTGTTCCTTATAAAAGTAATGTGCACTTAATTCATTTATTAGCTGATCTTTAGCATTATATTCAATTCTAAATGATTGTACATGCACTTAGAATTAAATACAAAACAGATTATGTACAGTAGACCCAAATAATTTAGCTACCTTTATGTATACCATTTCTGCAGTGGAAGAGATATTAATGTCCTTTATTCTTACAATTACAACTTAGGTAACCAAATTGACATTAATAGAATTTTATAATTCACTGGTTACCAATTATAAATACAATGTCCTACTTATGATTTAACATAATACATAAATGTACTTTATCTGTATTTTATTTTTTTTGTTTTCTCCTCCCTATAGCTCAAGACCTCAAAACTCGAGGCAGCTTCAAGTATGAATACTCCGCCAGGGTTGACATAAAAATTATTATAACTGGCCATTAACAAGGAAAAGTGTATCATGTTATAATCATTATTACATGTATAATGTAAAGTTGTTTTTATTGTTATTCTGTCTAGTTCGATGACTCACCACTATTGCATGAGGAGTAGATCTGCGTTTCTATTAAGAGAGCCCTTGCAGCTTGAGTGATCACATTGAAGAAGGAGTGGTACAAGATATTCAGGAGCTATTCAAAGAATGAATGAATAAGCATGTTAATATATCTTGTGTGCTTTCTATAATGCATGACTGAGTTCAGACTCAGAGCTAGGCTTACTTGAACATACAGAGATGGGCCAGCTGGCTGGTCATCATCTGGTTCATGCCCATTGACTTTATTGTTGCTGCAAGGGGCTTTGTTTACTGTTCTTATAGTAAAGAGTAGTTTGTTAAAGAGCATGGTGATGATTGAGATCATTACGATTACAGTAAATTGAGCAACCAAGCCAACCATCCCTTCTCCGCTGTCTCTTAGTGTTTCCCGGTCTTGGATCTCACTATAATCGAGAAAGATTCATGCAAATTTAAGTAAACATTTAGACCTTCTAAAACTCACATTGTTCTGCTGTCAGCCTGTCACTTCCTTTCCCCCTGCTCAAAACTGAAAGAATCTGCAGTAAGTAGAGCCGCTTAGATGCTGCAGTGAACCAGTCATGCTGAACTAGAGCTCAACCTGCATTGACATAGGCTGCCTAATGTATTTGTTTAACAATGTCTTAAAAAAGATTATTAGGCAGCCTACGTCACTACAGGCTCCAGCTAGCGCTAGACAGCTTGCGCCTGGCCTAGATATCACACCCATAATTGCTCTGCAACTTCCCTATTTCTGACCTTGCAAGATCAGGAAATCAATGGTAAATGTATATTTTAAAAGGTTTATATTTTGAATGACTGAATTAATGAAACATAATTAAGTACATAAATCACAAAATTGATTAAATATGAATAATTGAATTGTCCATACAAGGTTCTATACTTTTTACAAAGTCGTTTTTTTATATAGGTTACATCAATCTCTGGCAGCTCTTGAAGCTGTTATTCCATCTCTATAGATGCAGTTCGACACTTCAATAAATTTAAGATGGTGTGAGTATACTGTTTGAGCATCTTTTGCTCATCTTTATTAGTTACAACTACATTAGCACTGGCTAAAGGACTTTTACCCCTTACCAGCTGAAACATAGAACAAGATGAGCACCTTGATGCATAACCTCAGTATAAGGTAATTTGCCATTGTAATTGAGTAAGGGCTAATACAAGTTGAAATTTAATACTCCAATCTTCAGTGCATTTTGTATCATCTCTGTCTCCTCCTCAACTTCAATATCTGGTATGTCAATCGAAATGCTGTCATTGCTCCTAACTTCAAATTCACTTTGGCCAGAAAAAGTTAAACTTTCGCTACCTACATACAAATGGATGAACAAATTGTTAACTTTGTACACTTGCAAAACTTCAAAATTCTCTGAATTATCGTCGCAAACTTACAGATTAATGGTACTGTCTCCATCACTGAGAGATACATCTTGAAACAATCCAGTCCCCACAGCTCTTAGGAGGTTCAACTGACACGACTTTGCTTGGCTTCATATTCACTATCACACCAAGAATCTCAGATATTCAAGATTCTGGAATGACGTGTGGCTCCACTTCAAACTTTCTGGGAGACAGCTCCACTTTTGTTGTTGGGTTTACATGTATTTTGACTTCTGAGCTTCGTCCCTTTTTAGAAAGACAATTTCATAAAAGGATTGATTCTCCTTTTTTGTACTGAGTTTGAATTTGTTCCTGAGTCTTTGTATCAAAGCCTACAAGACGTGTACTCTAAGTACCATCACTTGATAGTAATCAGTTTCTTCTCTGGACTTCTTTTAAGGTGAGAGGGTTTTGATCCAAAATTGAACATCAGCTACCTCTGTTTTATCACCTATATCTGCAAGGTCTTCAATAAGTCACTTTTCCACCATCTAGTAAGTTAAATATATTTTGACTTCTTAGTTACTACTAAAATACTAATGCCTTTGGCTTAATGTCAGCCTGCTTGAATTGCTTAATCATTTTGCTTTCTCATAAATGCTACATGTACATGTATACAGAAATCTTACCATGATAGATAATTTTCTAAATTTAGAATCATTGTGATGTAATAATGACTGTATATTGCTTACATTTAGCAGTAAAAACTATGATGCAATTGTCATGATTGTCTTACAATTTAGCATTTCTAAATTTAGAATCATTATAATGTCATAATTATTAGATATTGCTTACATGTAGCTGTAAAAACTATGATGCAATTGTTATAACATTTTATATAAATAAGGCTTGGATTTTGATAGTTCTAAAAGTCTTTCATTGCTATAGTTCATTCTAAGGATTCCTGTGTTGATCATCATGGATGATACTACAAAAATAGGAAAGGTTTGTTTAACATATACAAACTCACAAGTCACTATTTTGTTGTATAGTTGCATAGAATTGTCCTTTTTGAGACTGAAGTTAGACAGATAACCAATAATATGACACTATTGGCAGATCAAAGACTTGGAAAGACATCAGAAATAATAACCTTAAAAAGTGATTTAGTAAGTATTTTGTATTGTTTTGACAAATGATCATACTTTATCCACATGACAGGGCTTGCTTCCTCCGGCTGTTCCCAGAAAAGGAAATTTTCCAAGAAGTGAACTTTTGATGCTTAGTAATTATCAAAAACTCATTATTCTCTATTCAATATTGACTTAAATTGAATTTGTACGCTCAGTCAGCAGTATCTATGCAGATGGGTTATTAGGTGCATCGGTACAGCATTTTTATGTCCATTTTATGCTAAACTGTTGAGGTTTTTGACTCCAGTAGCGGCATGCACAGCTTGTAACTTGTGCTAATTTTGACTCATTCTAAAGAGCTTAGGTGAATTAAAACATGCTATTAATACATAATGTAACTTATCAATTAAGTTTTGAAACACTCTCAATGCTCAAACCATTTTCTGGAGCCATAAATACCCATATAAGCCTTAATTTAGGGAGGCTGGGTCCCAGTCCCACAGCTGACCCGAGGAAAAAACCATGTCCCATAACATGGAAAAACTTAAACATTACATTTCTGTTAAAGGTATGCACTCAAAAAATTACCTTTTATCACTTAAAAAAGAGGAATCCACACTAACATCAATTTAGCTATTTACTTTTTGTGTATTTTACTCCTGAAACACAAATAAATACAGAGAGCCGTGTGAGGAAAGAAAGTCTTCTCAAATCCTCTAACTTAAATACAATAGAGGTTTGAATTTGTAGAAATTGATAATAAGACGACTTATTGATAACATTAAGTGCATGAATGACTAGATATAATTATTATTACCTTAATCTATACTGCAATACATTGGCTAGCTGCTTTTAAACTCACAGCATTAAATTCCGGAAGTTGAGTACAAAATATATTTCCAACACAAAACCAATGATAGTGTCTTAATATGTAGGATTTATTACCAATAAAGGAACAATAACTAAAAGACAAAACACCAAAATCTACATTATTTTATGAGCAAAGAAAACTCAAATACTGGGACTTCATTAAATGATCAACCAATCATAAAGCTAGGATAGCTAGAACAAAGTATAAGGAAGAAGAATTAAGTCAATCTTTCATAAGAATAGCATGATCAATGTTATCATTGATCATAAATAAAGTTGAATAGGAGGTGATTTGCACTGAATATTTTGTATAATATAATCTAAACATAATAATGTCAAAAAGCAGACAGTTACTTAATTATAATTTAGAGTGAATGCGTTTGTGCATGCATGCGTGCATAATGTTGATGGTTATCAGCCATGTTAGGGAGATCATTTTCTCATCCCTACATTTTTGGCTGCTACAGTTTCACAAGGGAATGGATAAACTACCTAACCTCCTAATCAGCTTACAGTTCACATATCTATGTATTAATATCAGTATTTGTACAGTGAAATGTTACAACATTGTCATGATCACTGTAATAGCAGTCAATGACAGTGCAAACAACATTACATAACAAACTATTAACATAAACATGATCAGTCAAGTTTCCCCTATCTGTAGTAGGAGTCTTTATCACTTGTTTGAAATTGTTCAGTCATGAAACTAAATAATGTATTAGGATTATTGGCCAACAAATCTTCATTAAGGTACAACGGGCTGAACGCACAATTTAGTTTTCGGAACACAAATTGTTTCCTTTATACTTTTTCTACAACATATAATTTTTTCAAATTTTTTCTCAATAGTGAGACGCAATAAACTTTACTTAACTTTTTAAAATGGTTGAAAACTGAGTAAAGAATTCTTGAACATGATGAGAGTACTTTAATTTTTAGTAATATGATTGTTTTTATAATACTATTTTCTATTGACGTATGTTCCATCACTTGGCAAAAGTTCTTCAAGTTTTGCAAAATGGGCTGCAATCTCTCATAGAGTTTTGTTCACTTTCAAACATCAGTGTATCACAAAAGCATTTACTGCATAGTAACTTGATTGAGTGTTTGCCTTCATTACACCACGATTGCAAGCTTTACAGCTTCGTAGAGCCTGCATTCACCTGATGAAACAGCTAAATAAACAATAGTCAGGAAGTACATACTGGTGGCCATTTTTATTAATGGTTTGACTAATATGACGTCATAACTTAACCCCACCTTGCAATTAATATTTCCCGCCAGTTTTATAATATACAGAGGTATCCAGAAATGACACAAGATCAAAGATGGCGTATTATTTCTAAGGAAGACGAAGTGATTTTTTTTTTCATAATATCTCTGCCTTTGCTACCATTCTCAGTAAGCTATCAAAAATTATTTTATAAAGAGACAATTTTAATAATAATATTTCAGAAGTGTTTGCAATTAGCCTCACAGTTTAATGTGCTTGTTTCATTTTGCTTGCCAGTCTGGTAATTTTTTTTTATGCTTGTGTAGCCTGTTCAAGAGATTGTTTAATTGCAAAATAATTTTTAATATTAAAAATACAATAATGCAAAAAAAAATAAACAGCATCGTTCTGTTCCACTGGAAATGATCCAATCATAAAGTCGTAATGATAATCAACTCAAATTCCGCGTGAATTACTTTTCAATAACTGTGATCAAGTCTAACCTACAGAGAGAGATGTACAATGGTTACTTTAACCTTAATTAATTCAAAAATTGTTTTTATTATTACAATTATACATTCCAATGAAGTTATTCCCTTGCTCCATCATTCACAGAGGCACCTAAAAAATCAGAAGATGATACAAGTGGCCCAATACAAAACAATCTATATTTTTATGACAAAATATCAACAGTGGTTGTACTAATTGACTTAGAAAGGCCATCATCAATCTTTCAGATTTCATTCTTCCATATGTACTCAACTGAATGTAACAACATTGTTTTCAAATTGAGATTTTTTGTACAATTGAATGAAATCATGCACCATCATCACACATATCCAGATAAAAAAGCAAATAGATAACAAAAAGAGCGGAGCAGTTATACAAAGTAGACAGTATGGACAAATATTGTACAAGTATTGTGTATTATTATTGTTACTTATGTCAATACAACTATTACGCAAATTTCTAGATATTGGGGAAATAATAAAACTACAAAAAACCAGAAATAGTGGTTTATTATTATTTAACTATCAATTATCCTAGAATGAACGACAAAATTTATTGTTGTTCATAAGTGTGTGTGTGCAAAAACATTTTATAGGAGGAGTACTTTACAAGCTAGCATTATAGGAAACATACACATATCCATTAATGGCTATAACTTAAACTTAAATAGAGTATTGAAAGAATCAGAACTATACAACATGCAAAATGGTTTTTGAATTGAGCTACAATAGCTTCGTGGTGATTGTTTCATGGCACTGATGATTGTATAAAATCAGTTTCATTAGTCGCAAGTCATAATTCTATATAGTATTTGCTGCATTGATAAGGTTTTAGTTGTGATATATACACTCATAGTTTATTTATTTTCATACATGCATGTTACCATGTACAACTTTACACGAGTTGCGTTTTTTCTCCATTTGTAGTAAGTTCATGACAGGTACAATAGTCATATTTCTGTAGCACAGTGCATTTCTACTTATTCATTTATGTTTATTTACATGTATTAATAGAATGCGACATGCATCATGGTAAACTTTGAGTTTTGCCTTGTTAGCATTTTTACAAGCATCAGTCCACCTTTTTCAGTGTGTCTAGCTACATGTAGATTTACGTGTATCAAACTTAGTGTTACATAATGTGTGTACCTGAATTGGTTTGTAAAAACTTGGTTGTAAGTACAACTTCTACAAAGTTGACTAGCTCTACAATCTTTTGTTTTTAAGTTACTGTATTTTTCCATGAGGTTGTAATAATAAAGTGTTTATAATTTTAATTTTTAACAATATTTATTGTTGTTAATTCATTATTATTGTAAACAAGTTCTCAATGGCTGTACACTACAAATTAGACCAACAGAGTGGACCAGGAATTCACATAAGTGTACATTAGATTTTTAACAAAAAATAAAAATAACTGAAGCAGCTAACCAGCATGCTAAGAGCGATAGACATGCCTACATGTATGTAACATAATGACTATGGTATAACTACCCAAAGACATGCCTACACATATGTACATGTAACAATATGACTTTGATATAACTTCATTGTCCTAACAGTACTTAAAATGACTTAAAATGACTTAAAATTGACTAAAAATGACATCTCAATATATCCCAATTCATTCTTACAAATCTCCAGCTTAATGTAAGAACATTGTTTTCAAATTAAGATTTTTCACAGTTTAATGGAATCATGCACTATCATCAGACATATCCAGATAAAAGAGCAAAAAAGATTTGAAAAAACAAAAAATGAGAGCAGAGCAGTCATAAAAAATGGACAATATGGACGAATAATGTACAAGTATAGAATATTATTATCATTATTTAATTTGATGCAACTATTCACTTTAGTTAGCAAATTTCTAGATATTGAGTGAATAAAACTACATAAAACAACAGAAATAGTAGTTTATTATTTTTCTAACTATCATTTATCCTAACATTAAAGACAGAACTCATAGATAAGTGTGTGTGCAAAAAAATTTTTACAGGACAGGTACTTTACAAGCTTGGCATAATAGGAAGCATACATGCATCTAATAAATGTCTATAACTTAAACTTAAAAAGAGCATTGAAAGAATCAAAACTATACAACATGCAAAACAATAAACAATTATATAGTGTCTTGCAAGACTCACCAAATCTGTATAGCTTGAGAGGTATTCTTCTACGTTAAAATAGAATTACTTGCTTACTTTTCATGTAATTAATTTGGCTAACTGCAAGAGCAAGGGACAAATACATTAAATGATAGGTACATACATAATTCATTATACAACTTAAAGTTCCTCTCATAATTGTAAAGAAATTCACCCAAAAAGTTCAAAAACAATGTATTGTGCATGACTTTCTCATATTCATGTATAAGAAGTTATCACAAAGTCTAAAGTTTACAAATACTTCCAGTAATAGATTTTAATCATCAATGAACAACAACGATAATTTCGCAAGTAAAAAATCTATAACAAAGGAAATTATTGATGTGTGCATTGCTTACTTCCTTACTATGTCCAGGTTGAGTATATTCAAAGATCTTGAGTTGTTACAATAAATAAAGCATATAGAAGCCTCAAAACCAATTT